GGCCTAGCTGACAACAGTCACGTAGGCCCAAGGGTGGGTTGGACTCTGGGGATCATTTGACTGCAGAGGGTGTTACCCAGACCTAGCCTATCCCCCACCCATTGCCATGACAACCCCAAAAAGTGGGCACCCCCTTCCTGCTTGGATTGGCTGATGGCCACAGCCAATTCTAAGTAGATTGGGGGTTTTAATTCTAACACCATTGGAGGAGAGATCAGATTTTCTCTTGCTCTCTCTACTGTTGAAACTGCACTTGGGAGATGCTGTCCCAGGCAGAACAAAGGACTCCTGTGTGAACTGACCATGTGCTTGCAAGGATGGCACTATTGTTCCTCAAGATACCTGGACTTTATTACAATGGACTGTCTTGGACTATGGATTCCTGAAGTTGGTAATTATGCATATCTCTAATGTCTAGTTAGGGCCAAGAGCCATAAATTTTATTATTTGGTAATCCTGATTAGTCTGTGCTAAGCCTGTACTGAATAAACTTTATTCTTGTTTATAATAATGTCTGTTTGATGTGTAGCTGGACTCCAAGCTAAATCCTGTTGTCTGAACTGCTCACCAATTATGCTACCTTGCTAAGGTTAACTGTACAGCTCTGGACAGAGTTGTAGTGTGTAAAATCCACATGCCAACTGAGATTCTGGGATCTCTAATCTCAGGCTGGTGAGGGATTAATCTAGAGATCCTGGTGGCTGTGTCTGCAAATCCAGAGAGGCTATCTCTCCTGGGTTCTTGTGTAATGTATGGTTCCAGTGTAGAATTCTTTCCCTTCCATTCCTGGATTGGCCTGGGGAGGAGAGAATCTACACAGGAGTGCATGGAATCTTGCCACCCCAAAACAGGAGAGATGTGTACTCATTCCATTTTTTTATGTGGAGAAGTCACCACTCCAAGCCTTCAGCAATGTGATGAGATCATGCTTTGGACTGTTTTAAGGAGTAGCTAAAAATTGTGAAAATGCATTGAGACTTCAATGACGTCTACACAGCAGAAACCAGTTGCAAACAACCAGCAAGGTCTACTGCTTTGGCCCCAAGATTCCCATTGCCAACAGACAGTTCATTCATGAATCCAGAATTGTTCTATGCTACTTCATTTCTCTTAACATCATAATCTTGTTCTGAAAAATGACCTCCCAGAATTATAGCAAGGTAACGACTATCATCAACATAAAACATTACTATAGTACTGTATCAAGAAGATGAAAAAGTAAAAGAGATTAGGTGTGGAACTCAGTTAACAGAATAGTACATCATTTCCAAGCGCTGAAGTAAAATGGCATCACAGTTTAAATAACACTTCCCACAGCACTTTCCTTAGTGCTAAGGTTCTGGAGCTTTAGGTGCCATTTTCCCCCCTCCCAGTCTATTTGTTGTGCTGATCTTTTGTTAAATGGGTATGCCCCCCCCCTAGATTTTTGTGCTAATTTTATGATTTTATCGTCGGTTCTTCAATTTTACATTTCTCCCATTTGTCCAAGTCAAGTTTTACCCATTTTTTTTGGTTATCTTTATTTTAATGTTTGTTGGAAGTCACCTCGTGAGCAACTTGTTAAGTGACAGGATATCAATGCTTTAAATAGACAAAGATTGCAGGAAAATTCAACACTTCAAGGCTGCTCTACATGTTAGCTTAGCTTTTCTCTTCAAAGACAGGAAGACAGGTCTTAAAAACCTATCAAAAGGCAAAATTGAGTATATATTTTTAACAACTCTACTTTCAACTTCAGTCTTTTCATGTAATAACCAAGGCTAATATTATCTTCAGGCTATTGCCAAGGAATAACACGAATGAACACTGACCAAACTGACAATCACTGCTTTGTATACTACATAATTACAATCTTCAAACATCAAAATGTTTTCTATCGTATACCATAGTATTGTACAAATGAAATAAGGTTTTACTGATAGTGAAGACTGGGTCTAAAAGTGAATCGTTTTCAACATGCAACACAATAGAAGGTAGTTGACCTGTGAAGTCAAATACCCAGACTGTCAGCTATCAGTTGCCAAACATACAGTGTTTCAAAATGAACCTCATTGCACCCTCTAGTTCACAGAAAACATTCTCCAGCAGATATGCAGGCTGTTGGTACCAGAATGGCAGCAGCTGAGGCTGCAGACATGTCAGAAACCCTCTCTCACTGAACAGAACTTCCATTCTTCTGTGGCATGCTGAAATACTTGCCTTGCTTGCTATGAGTTTCTAGGAATTACTGTGCAGGAAGCACAGGAAGGGAAGAGTTAGAAGTGGGATATTAATCTTAAAATGCTCAAACTTTAGATATTAATCTAAAAGACATTAATTTAAAATGACTTTCATAAGACATTTAAACAAGCTATCCTCAAGTCATAACTTGTGCTCTATATACACGGTCTGGTTCTTATTATGGACGGGAGCAATCACAAAGCTAAAACATAGCTTTTGCCACAGTAAAGAAAAGCTGAACTAGATCTGCACAGGAGCTTCTTGTGTATCTGGATCAGTGCATCTGTGCTAAAACAAGAAACAGAAAAGGCAGGTAAAATGGATACCAATTTGGCAGAGAATCTGTGCTGGTAATTCTCTCAGATATGCAAATAGAAGTACATCACAATTCCTTGTACCTAGTGTGTAAACGGCCACAGAAAGTCTGTGGCCAGCCCATATGCTGCGTAGAACTGTATTGCGCTAGACAAGAGTGTCCAAACCACATAAAGTGCTCCCAGCAGACACAACAAGGTTCCCACTTCTGACAATCACCTGTAAATACATACACACTCAAGTCTGTGACAATGTACCTTGTAAAAATGTATACTCTGCGAACTTCTCACATTCTCAATAAAACAGGTTGTTTATAACGCTTATTAGGGATGATGTGCAAGACTGTTGTTTGATCCTTGCTCATCCTTATCTATCAAAAACTATCAAATGGCACAACTTCTTTCTAAAGACTTAAGTACCTTGCCCTCCACTCATGTATGACAGCTTTGTACAAACAGCTCTTTCTACCAAACAGCCAATAAGCAATCCATTTCCTATAGATGATAATGACTAATACCTTTGTTTACACAAACACCAGATGAGGTAGTGAAGCTGTGAGTGGGCTGTACAGTTTCAAACTGCAAGTGGGCCTCGTGTTGACGGAAGATTTCTTCAAAAGAAAAAAAGAATTTGGAACCAATGTTGCCCTTACATAATGCAAAGACCTGCCACTTCTGCAAAAGTACCCAACATTTTCCAATTTCTCTTTCCAATTTCCTACTGCAGCTCCTTGCACCACTTTTCATGTTGTGCTACAGCACAAAGGGGGTGGGTAGAAAACATTGGTGAATGAAACACTCTTACAAGTTAGGATCCTGGGCGTAATGTCAGTTTTGACTTTCTAAGAATCTCATGGGGTTTTGTTTTTTTGTGTGCCTCTTTTAATCAAGTTCTATTACGGTAACAGATTTAAAAAACGATGGAAAATTTGTAAGAAATCCCCCCACCACCGCAACCATGGTTTTTCAGAAACAGGCAGAAAATTTCCCACACAGGCTGCCCAACTCCCTCGTTTCCTTCAGCCTAAGCCTTTCCCATATGCTCATACTAGATGCACAAACTCCAAGTGCACTAGATTAGAACAATTTTTGCTAGGAGTTGAGAAACCAAAATTCTATGCTCTGCTAAGTTTTTTTATCCCTTCTTCAATCTTCAGTTTGACCTCCTGCTAAATATCTCAAACCATAAACTGCCTGGTCCTTTTCATTTTCAAGCAGAGCTCCTCCATCATAATTTATCAAAGTTTGCTAAAAAAAAAAATGTTCCAATTAGATTATTTAGCATGTTAGATATTAATACAAAAGGATGATGAGAATATACATCTATCTAAAATCTTGGGAAGATGAACAAAAAACAGAAGGCAGGAAAAACACTCCATTTTGTAAATAAAGAAAATGAAAGATCCAAACCAATTGTTAAATCTTTTGAATTATCCACCTGTTACATAGATTTATAGCATCAATATTAAATATATTTTTGTTTGTGAAAAGACTACTCTGAGGGTAACTTTATGGAGAAAGAAACAACAGGAAGAGGAAAACAAACACTATCAAGTAATGACAAATAGGATCATGGCCACAATGCTCCCACTTCAACTTTTCTGAAACTATTAACTAGAAAGCCAACATTCCTATTGCTTAAGCTTATTGTTATCTTACCATAGTTGATTTATAGAATTGAAGCCATCCAGTACTGCATAATCTAACTTTCTCTAAGACACTTTTCTTACACAAAGAATCTTTATTTCTCTATTATGCTACATTAAGCCCTCAAAAGAAATACAAATGCTATTAAGCTATATGGCTGCTAAGGGGTACCTATAACATATGAGTTAAATAGGAACTACAGCTCAGATACAGTGTTTTGCAGTAGCTGCTCTCTCTTGTTAAAAATAATATATATAAATATAAATATCTAAACATGTATCAGCAATCTAAATAGATACTGGTTGCAATCTATACTTTATGTCGCTTGTGCAGTCCTTCTGACTTTAATGTTGCTAACCGTAAATAAATGGCTTATATTCAAAAAAAGTAAGATATAAAACACATGGAGATGTTTAACTAATTTAAGAATAAAGTACAAAATTTGAGAAACAAGGGAACCTAGAAAGCAACTTTGATGACATTAATAGGATGACAATGTGGGTATACAGGTCTGGAATATGCAAAATTAGAAGCTGCTGGCTAAATCAGTTAGCATTTTGCTTTTCTTGGTACAACTTGGGAATTCCATGGTGTGTCACCATTCATTTAGTTTTGTGTATCACTATATCTGTATGATACTGTATTGTGGACTTTTCAGGACTATAAAAAAAGTTATAATACAATCCACACCAAAAGGTCAGCCACCCCTCAAGCGTGAATGCCATGAAAATTAAGACCACCAGACCAAAACACTAACACTTTATTAAAAATTCAAATTTTATTGCAAATTATATTTTGCTTCTCTTTTTTCTTCATTTTTACATGATTTATTGATATCCATGATTTTTTCACAAATGTACTTGTTCACTTTGGAGAGTCTCTGTGCAATTTCAGTTTCATCCACAGTTTCTTGTGCTATCCGGTCATACAAACATTCTGGAATGAAGAGAAATGGCATTTAGACTGACACCACAATTTTTTTTTACATACAGTATGCATCAATTAGCAAGGTAAACAACAAATGCAATGGGAAGAAGTTTACTGAAGAAATTGTAAAAGTGACAAATAATTCAGTAAAGAGGAGCTGCTGCACAACAAACTACCAGGAAAACTGTATCAGAGCCAATTTTTTACATGTGAACATAGACAATATAATAATGAAGTATATTTTCAGCACAAATGACTGGCATTTGGACTCATAATCTTTAAAGTGGCCATCTCCCATTTCTAACGATTTGCTTGCCCAAACTGCGATTCTCCACTTGCTCACAGAACAATCATCAAATGAGGATATTCTGAGGAATAATGTGTTCTTGCCCTCTATTTTCCTTTTGCAATTAATGCAGCAATCTCATATCATTGGCTCCTATGATACCTTTCCCCTCATGCCTCTCTCCTGCTGTTGTGGAAAGTCTTCCTCTGCTGAGGCATTTACTTCCTCTGCCACTAGCACTTCCACATGAGCAAGATCAATTTTTTTCAAGGAGCATTTATACATAAGTGCTAGGGGCAGAGGAAGCAAGCATGCAGTGAAGGAAAGCCTCCACAGTAGCCAGAGAAACACAAGGGGAACAACATTGTAGGATCCAAGACACTGTCATTCCCAACTAGCATAGCCATTTCTTGCACTTGGCTTGTCTAATCTTATTACTGTTATCCTTAGCTTGCAATATCACTGATGAACAAATGCCCGACCCACTTCAGCAGTATGTTAGTATGAAGAACCAAGCATTCTAAAACCTCCTCAGTGACGACAAAGAATTGTGTAAACTACAAGGAGATAGCCTAAGGAAAGACTCTGTTAGCTAACAGAGTCCACTGGAGAGGCAGAAAGACCCCCTATTCCTTGGCTAGAACCCTGCAATTCTTAATTCTCAAGTATATGGATGACAGTAAATGCTTGGACAAGACTTAGGGAGGAACTCAAGATAAATGAGTAGCAGGCTTATCAAGGCAAAGCTAAAAAAGACATGCCCCATTACTTTTAGCTCCTTAGCACAGGATATATATATAATGTTTTTTATATATATATATATATAGCCATTTCTACTGTAATATATGCAACTATGTGGCTATTCTTTCTTGTTCTAATAAATAACTTCCAAACCCATTAACCAACTTAAGTTTTACTTTGCTTTACTCAGAAATCATGTCACTGGCCATTCAGATTGCTTAATATACAAGAAAACCATAGAAATTCATTGAAAAAACAAGTTTTATAACATTGTTAATGCAGTATATTAAAATTATGACACTGAACTACTCTACATCCACTGTAGTACCTTCTGACACCCAACAGAAAAATCTGGAAAATAAATAAATAAACCAAGCCCGATTTAAATGGCTTGGGGCCATTTAAACCAAACAGCTAAACAGCAGGAAGCTCCCAGCTGCTCAGCTGTTTCTCCTGAAGAGCAGAAAGCAGGCATAAACCCCTGCTATCTCTTCTTCATGTACCATAACGAACCACCACAAATTGTGCAAAATCCATGGTAGTTCAGGGGACTGCCTTGAAATGGTTTTCTACTTTCTCCATGGTCAGGGACAGAGGGTAGTAACTGGTGAGAGGGTCTTCCCGCGGTACTTGCTAGAATGTGGAGTGCCACAGGGGGCGATCCTCTCACCAATGTTGTTTAACATCTATATGTGCCCCCTGACCTAGAGAAGCTGAGAGAAATATAGAAGTATCTGAAATGAGACATTTAGGAACCTGCTATAGATGTCTTGCTCCCATGGAGAAAAGTCCTGAGGTAGGTGCAAGTCAGGCTGAAGAAAAGCAATCCACTGGAAGAGACCCCTTCCTCGGATGATGAAATGATACTGTCTCCCACAGAGGATAAACTGCTGACTGGGTAAGGCGAACTCTAAATAATGTGTGATTCAATAAATCAGGACAGTAGAGAGAGTGTTTTGCAATGGGTATTTTAGTCATACTGTGTACTGCCTGGCTGGTGCAAAGGCTGTATACATCACATGCTGCCTAGACAGTCTGCCTGGATGTATGGGAGAACAATCAATGACAGCTGTTCAATTTGGCACTGACTACTTTGAGAAAATGCAGCCATGTGTTCTTGAAAGAAAAATGTAAGTTGTTAGGCATGAAGTTAAGATCTAGGACCAAGACAGCATTTTCAGAAATGCTACTATTCCATGTGCAGAAAAGGTTAGATAGATTAGGGATATCAACATGTGGATGAGTTCATACTGCTTTGGGGGGGGCAGGATTTAGATTTGCAAACCACTGGGGAACATTCGGGAACACGCGAAGCCTATACAAGAGAGACACGCTCCACATGAATCAAAATGGAACCAGACTGATGGGACTTGATATCAACACAACTGCAGAGCAGCTATGAAATAAAAGATGACGAACTTGGGGAACATTTGACAACCCATAGCTAAGGGGTGAATATTCTAAATGGGAACAGGGCACTTAACAATAGGTGAAATGACAGTAGTTTAAGGAAACTAAAGGATTATAGAGGAAAATGTGCATCAAGCTCTCTGTGGCTATACCACTTCAAATCATAGGTTTCTAAGATTTGTATATAAACTCCTGTGCCTTGTTTCCCTATCCAAGCTTCCTTTGCCAATGGAATCTCTTCTGAAATTAAATTTGGTTGCATTGATTTCAGAGGAAACTTGCCACTTACATAGTGTAAGTGCATGGGTCATGATAGTGACAATATTTCTAGATATCATAAATGATAAAAAATCATGGAACCAACTAAAAGGTAGGGAACCTGGGGCTTGATCCTGAGTGTTACTCAAGATAAGAGTGTTCTTGAATCCACTGGGAACACAGAAAACAGTGCTAATTGATTGCAGCATTATTGTAAGTGGCAAGTTGCCCCTTGAAACCAAAGTTAATTTCAGAATAGGTCCCATTTAGACCATGGGTTCTTACTAAGCTATGTAGCAGCAATTCCTAAGAGATTCAGAGTTATTACTTTGAATTTAATTAGAGTAGTGAGATTGATTTTCACCAAATATTGAAAATCTTATACCTTTCCTGGGATACCACAGTGGTTAAAGAAAATAAAGCAGTTACATATTCCTTTGTCAGACTTACTGCTTTGCAAAGTAACATAGATATCAGGGAAACAGATTCAATATGGCATCATTTTTATGTTGGATGGCGATAAATGGAACTTAATCCCTTTTCCCTTTATTTCTTTCTGGAGGAGTTAAGATGGTACTCTAAGGGCATATTCTAATTGCGATTTGTAATTGTAACTATTGTTCTGTATGTTTTTGTATATAAGCCTTGTTCTGTGGTCAGCAATGCTTCCAAAGAAATTTTAATGTATTTTGAAAAAATTAATGAAACAAATACACTTTAAAAACACAGAAGAGGAATCTTCTAAAAAATGAGGGGATTTATCAAAAAGATACTGAAAGGGAAGACAAGTAGATTGAAATCTCTTCAGGATTCTTGAACTTTATTTAAATTGATGATAACTAAAACTCAACCAGAATGTATACCAGAAATCAAGGCAAGTGCCATCAAAACTAACATGATGCCAGAGCGATTAATGAACTAAGTCAAGGATGCCATAAAAGGAAGGTTGTCTGCCTTCAAAATATAGAAATTGCCCAAATGAAAAGAACACGGGCTCTGTCAACACATAAATTGATGGTAAAATGAGTGAAATTATTGTGAGGAATAATTTGCTAAGAACAGTAAAAGTGCAATCCTATGCAGAGATATTCCAGTCTCAACGCACTGATTTCAGTGGTTTGATAGTGAGGAACTCTAAATAGGTCCGCACTGTGAGAAAAACCATAATATTTTTGAACACATCAGAAGTAAGAATCCAGCCAGGGAGGTGGTTGGGCTATGATGAAGAAGTGAAGACTGCTAAAGGAAGATAGGGAGACTGCAGAGAAGTTAAATGTATTTTTTACATTCATCTTCACTGTTAAAGAGGTGGGATGGTTCACTTACACTTGAATCACTGTTTGCATGTAGGTGTTTGAAGAATCAAATCAAATAGAAATGACAAGAGATTAAATTTGAAATCTATCTAACAAATTAAAAATGAACAACTCATAGGTCTGGATGGGGAACTCTAAGTATTAATAATTTAACTATTATGCCACTCTTTTCCAGTGGCCTCTCTACCAAGTTGGAATGTAGGGAGTCCATTGCTAATTTTTAAAAAGGGATCTGTGAAGTTAAAGGGCAGATATCCCTAAGTAAATGGGTGGAAAGCACTGTTAAAGAATACACAATTATTAAGCATATAGAAGACCACACCTACTGGGAAAAATTCAGTATGGCTTCTGCATAGCAAAGTCATATTTCAACTCTTTAGAGTACTTTAAGAGTGTTACCAAGCATGTGGGTAAGCATGAGTGGGTAAAGATTATATATGCGGATAAAAATTGCTTAAACAACAGGAGACAGCAGGTAACAGAGAAGACATTGTTCTCAAAATTAGAGATGGGCATGAACTGAGACAATGTGGTTTCCTTTCTGTTTTGTGGCATGCCCAGTTCACAACACAAACCATGGGCCGTCACAAATTTAGGCGTCAAAAAAACAGGTTCATTTTGTGAGGTTTGTGACCTAGAGACAACAAACTTGCAGGTGATCTCCGGATGACTCTACTCTACCTGCCCTCCAAGTCTGGTGAGGACTGGATCCAAGTTACGGCTCCTCCAAAGAAGGTGCCCCCCAGGAAAGTGATTTCTGGGGAAATGACAGGCAGAGGTTCAGGAGGTTCAAGGTAAGCAAAAATGGAATTAAGTAAGAATAAAATTAGGCACATACATCTTAATTGGGTTTGAACTGGCACTGGATGATTAGGCCACAGTAAATAGTTCAATGAAAATACTCAGAAGTGCTGAAAAAGTCAAATTATGTCCTTGAAATCAAATTTATGGAGGACAGTAACTATTAAATTTCAACAACCTTTACTGGCATAACAACTGTAGTATGACAGAAAAACAACAACACAACAGTCCGAACAATCAAGGCCCTGTCTGCTGATACAAGGTGCACAAATTTGGCCACAGTTTCAATCACCATTTTGGGCCCTGAACAAGTTGGATTCTGCCATGGGAAATGAACTATAGATCACTGTGTAGTGTTAAGCCATTGACTATTAGCCAGGATGGCTTTAAAAACTCCTACCATGTGAACATAAGAACATAAGAGACGCCAATGTTGGATCAGGCCAAAGGCCCATCCAGTCCAACACTCTGTGTCACACAGTGGCCAGAAATACCAGTGCCATCAGGAGGTCCAGCAGTGGGGCCAGGACATTAGAAGCCCTCCCACTGTTGACCCCCCCCCCCAAGCACCAAGAAGACAGAGCATCACTTGCCCCAGAGCCCCTAGCTATACCTTGTGGCTAATAGCCACTGATGGACCTCTGCTCCATATGCTTATCTAATTCCCTTTTGAAGCCGTCCATGCTTGTAGCACCCACCACTTCCTGTGGCAGTGAATTCCATGTGTTAATCACTCTTTGGGTGAAGAAGTACTTCCTTTTATACCTCTGCAGGGGGTTGGGGGTAGCCCAGACTCCCATTATGAGCAGAGGTGAGCTACTGGGCAACCAGCTGGTCATCCTGCTAGGTGGTAGTTTTCCAGACATGGCACGAACCCTACTGGGTACTCAGCAGGGGCCAAACAATACAAACATGGCCTAGCAGAGTGACAGGGATCAGGAGGGCAGTTATGGAATTAAAACACGAAAGGGAGGGATAAAAAGTATGAGGCTAGAGCTACCGGCACTCCAGCTCCTGGGAGAAGACACACCTTCTTCTGAGAAACTGAAGCCCTTTACACTGGCCTTTTCATGCCAGGGAGAGATGGATGAGGACAGACTGGTCTGGGCTCCAGCCACTTGTGGAGCCAAACTGGGTAAAGGAGAATGGGTGAATCTCAAACTTCTTCCTCTTTCCTTTCCACAGCTGAGGAGCAGGTAAGCAGCTTGGACTGGTTGATGGCAGCCTGAATGCAGAACCTGAAGGCCAGTTTGGCCTCTGTACCACTGCTTGTGGGCCTTCAGTGGTATCTGGCTGGCTACTGAGGGGAATAGGAATTAGAGGAACCATCAATCTGATCTAACAGAGCTCTTCCTATGTTATCACATTAAATGGAAGTAAGCACACACTAGATTTACCATTTTATTTCCAATAGGACTACCAAATGAAACACCACCCTTTGGTATTGCATGCAGACTGCTAGAAAAAACCATTATGTGCATAAGGATCAGGCACATAACAAGGCCTGCAAATATTCTCTAGCATGAAGCTATGTGAATGTCCCGTTGTAGTCAACAGGATCACAGCCTTAAGAATATTTTAAAGTACAGTTTCAGCACCCAAGTTACAACACGAGAAATGCTCAGCCACAATTCTGTCTCTACTTACTTTCTACTTTTATTCCACATAAAGGGAAGAAGAGAATTGAGTCAGCTAGGCTGGGAGAAGGCGCATGGAAGAGATCTGCTGTGAGGGGAGTGGGGTTTTTGCCTTTCTTAAACTGCTGGAAAGCATTAACTGAGGTTGCTTTGTGAGAGAACGCGTCTGAAAGTGAGTGGGTGCTTGTGGCCTGCTGGGGAGTCGTTTCTGTTTGGTTTTCTTTCGTCTGGTTTATTGCTGATAGTTGCTGACTGGGTAGGGTCTGTTTGTCTGGAGTTGATTGCTGGCCCCACCCTCTGCTGTTGAGAGGCAGAGGCTGTGAGCCTTTGAACTCTAAGGCTCCTCCTTACTAGAGGCGTGAGCCAAAGGGTGAAAAACCAAAGGACTTTTGGCCTGTGGCTCTTAGCTGGGGGACTGGGCCTGAGGACCCTGTAAGAAGCTAAGAAGTTTTTACGTTACCACTTTCAGCCTCAGCAGACGTTAAGTCAAGCCTGTAAATTCCAGGATATATCAACACACAAAGTTAATTCTAGGGTGAAGGAACCTACTCAGACGATGAATGCTCAAGGTCCATTTCCAGTCACCTGCAGAGAGTGCACCATATTTGTCAGAGGAAGAGAAACGTAATGGGGACAAAAGATAATGGAGGTGCACCACTGGCTGTGTTGGTGGTACCGACAGGAAAGCTCTGGATTCTGGGACCATGGGCTACATTTTCTGGAAGAAGGCCTACTAGCATGCGATTGACTTCACATATCAAAGTCACAGAAGAATATGTTTGGCAGGAACAGGAAGCTCAGGGTTCAGGGAGAGTCATCAGGAGGGCTTTAAACTGACACCAGAAGGGGAAGATGACCAATATAGTTGTTAAAATGAAGGAAAGCAAACAGCAGAGGCCCACCTGCGAAGGTCAGGTCAAATGGAGTCGACAGTGCAGGAGTTCAGGTCCTTATGTACCAATGCCTAAAGGTTGGGCAGCAAGAAGAAGAGCTTGAGCTTCTAATGCAGACGGAGGGATATGGTTTAGTAGGCATTACAGAGACTTGGTGGGATGATTCCCATGACTAGAATGTAGCAGTGGACAGATAGGAGTTGTTCAAGAAAAACAGAAAGAGTCAAAGAGAAGGTGTGAGAAGAGGGTTTGCTTGTCCAGAAATACTGGAGAAGGCAGATGACAACCCAGTGGGAAGTATCTGGGTAACAATAAGGGAAGGAAGGACAAAGATTATTGTGGCTGGAGTCTGCTATAGACCTCCTAACCAGGGTGAGGAGGTGAATGATACCTTCCTTGAGTAGCTTGACAGTGTATCCAAGCAACATGACCTTGTAGTTATGGGTGATTTCAGCTTCCCTAATGCGCCCTGGGAGACAAACTCTGTTAAGTGTCCAGAGTCACACAACTCCCTGACCTGCCTGACAACTTTTTTCAAATGATGAGGGAAGCTATGAGGGGCTCAGCCATACTCAACTTAGTATTAACCAAAAGGCAAGAGTTGGTAGATAGGGTGAAGGTGGTGGGGACCTTAGGGGGAAGTGACCATGCCCTCCTAGAATTCTTTTTGCTGTGGGGGGCCAAGGAAATTCAGAGCCAGATGTGTATGTTAGATTTTAGTAGGACAGGCTTTAATGAATTTGGAGGTGTGATGAGAGTCATTGTATGAGCAAGAATGTTGGAAGGGAAAGGAGCAAGTGAAAGGTGGGCTCTCCTAAAACAAAAACTCTTGCAAGCTCAAGGCATCACTATTCCAACAAGATGGAAACATGGTAGGGGTTCCAAAAAGCCAATGTGGATGTGTGATGACCTAAGAAAGATGAGCTAAATTCTCCCAGATTAGAGTCTGCGTACTTAACCACTACCCCAAACTGCCTCTGCCTAGGGAGGTGGTGAGCTTCGCTCACTGACAGTCTCCAAGCATTGGCTGGATGAACACAAGCAGCAGCTGGATGAACATCCTACACTGAGCAGGAGGTTGGACTAGATGGCCTGTCTGACCTCTTCCAACTCTGTAATTCCAAGAGCTCACTGGTTGCTCAGCTGGCGATATCAGTTACTGATGGGCACTGAAGACTCAAAGCTCCAGTCTAAATAAGAACTCTTCTAGTATGACTCATGTCTATAAGTTAAGGTCCAGAGTCATAAATACAGGACATGGATAACTGAAAGTGATGTTATCCACAACCAACAAATATTTGGGAGAGGAAATAGCCTGTTTTATCAAAGAGTATTTGCTTAGACACCTTCTCAGTAACTCTCAGAAAGTCTCAAATCAGTTTTTTTCCCCTTTTCCTGACTGCAAGCCAATTAATGCATTAGCAGAAATTGCTGGCTGCTTCCATGCGATGAGTACAGCAATATGTTTAGTTTCCAAATCAATGTCATTCCGCCCTAAAGACCAATGGTGCATGATGATGCCCAATATTAGGAGAAGCAGTCCCCACCATCTCCATGTGCCACAATGCCTCTGGTAATGTATAGATTGGGCCACAGACTATCTGATTGTGCATGGATGTGGATGTGCATAAACAGTTTAATTTATTTTCTCTTTGTTTACTCCACATCAAACACTGATGTTCACATCCATATGCATCATACAGGTGAGACCAGATTCAGATAACATGCCACTAAAAACCCAAAACACAACATATGCGGGTGTTTCACACCCCAGCACACACACACATTTAAAGGTACATCTGAACCTATATCATTATATATAATCTAGAGACAATCAGATGCACTCAAATCCTATTAAAATCAAGGGAACTTTACATTTTGAAGTCCTTACATCACAATCCATTTCAATTAATATTAACTGTGCTTAACATTCTCGGGGTACACTTTTGTTCAAAGCTAGACTTCTTGTTCAAATGCCAGATCAGGTATAGCAATTCTTTTCTACTTATCTTTCGTTGTCTACTTTTCTCTTAAAATGACTACAGATCTTCTTTCGGTATTTTAAATGAAAAATTGGAGATTAGAGAAGGAGAAGACTTTTTGTATGTATGTAGAAGTTCTAATGGTATTTCCAAGCAAGGACACTCATAAAATCACAGTGGATGTTCTGATTAAGTTGATAAATGGAAAAATTTTGTTGAAAGTGACAAGACGGCTGAGAACGAGGGCCTAAGGGAACAGAAAATTCCAGTGGCCTGGGTCATCCTAGGCACCAGAGAGACAAGTAACAAGTTGCTGGGGGATGGTAGCAGCATACCTGCTCTGTATGTTGTTCTGAATTGGGGTGGGGGGAGGGGATCTTCGGCTGGGGGTTCATGGTGGCTTTCAACAGCCTCGGGAAGAGAAGGAAGAAGAAACATTCTTCCATTTCATCTCCACAAAAGAACATTACATTCTCCAAATAACCTACCTCTGACAATGCTTAATTTGTGAGGTGACAGAGGTGGTTTAGGAATAGCGTCTTTCTTTTTTTTGGTTGCAACTCCTGTGACGCTTCTATTCTTGAGAACATCTGTTCCCCAGATCATAACCGCTAAGTTTTTTGTATACTTTGAATCTCCTTGCGTTACTTGCAGCTGGTGCCATTTCTCCCCATCTACCCAGATGCCACTGCCAAGATGAACCTGAAAACAAATAGCAGTCAGTTCACAATTAGCACAGAGCACCCAGAAGTCAGCCTGACAGTTAATTAAGTTATTAGTTTTGCCACTCACAGACTGGCATTATCCCTAAAAAAGAGCTCCAAATATATTTCTGTAATATTTCAAAGTTTAGAATGAACAGTTTCAACCACCAAATTAACTATTTGGACATTAAATCAGGTTGACCTATACAACTAAATCAGAAAGTTGATGATACCAGAATAAAGGTGCTCAGATGATGAAATCAGAAATATAAAGAGTTAGATCCAGACTAAATTGGCAGCTTCCTCTGATTCGATCTTCCTTCTGCATACCATCTTCATGATATTCTTCAGGGTCCCTATTCCCCAGGAGTACCATTTTGTAGAGATCAGTAGGCTGCAGCGGGAAGAGGGAGGAAGGAAAATTTCATTCTGCCATTGGAAAATTTAGTCTGGATCCAAATCAAGGTCTTAAACCTATGTCTACCTGAAAGTCAGAAGCAGGTTTTCCAAGCTACTTCCACAATTCTTTAATGGTAGGGCATTCAAGTTCTTCTAAAGATATTATTTTCATCATAGGTATAACCTGTTGGTGTACCCCAGTGAACAGGCACAGTCATATTGAGAAAGCCCCCAAATAACACCAATTAAGGAAAATGCTATCACTATCTTATCAAAGTCACATCATCATGAAAATGGCATGATAACAACTTGAAAAATATTGATGAAGTAACTTCCAAAAATACCTTTCCATTCTCAAGAATATATTTGTCCATTACTGGAACAGCAGCAGGGTAGTATGTTGATGTGTTTGCTTCCTCACTGAATGTCTTCTGTACTTCAGGTTCAGGATCAAGAGATTCTGGATTAACTTTTTCAAGTTCTATGGCAGGACCTAGATGGTTCAGAAAAAAACATGAAAGTATATCAAATAACAATAAATTAAATAAGTTACAGATTCTGCTATCAAATGTGCAGACTGCAAAACAATGAAAAAGGAAAATTAAACTTGTAGCATGTATTCCACACATAGAGGGCCTTCTCAGGAGTTGCTCCAGTTGTATGGCAAGTCTAGCTATGAGCATGGCTTTATCTTCACAGAGCTTCCACAAGGGAGTGAACATTTTCTGCACAGTTAGCCTTTGATCATTTAGTTTGGCTTTGGCTTCTTGATTTTCTTTGTCCAATTATTCTGCTGCCATAATCTGCTCTGTATTACGTAAAATAACTGCCTGAAAGTGGCTAGGGCACCCCGCCCTGTCCCAGTTGATGCCGCACTTACCACTGAAAGGCCCCCACAGTGGGCCACCCCAGGTGATCCAAAGGACCATCTTAGATCACCAGGGATACAGCCTGACAGAAACCAGAGACTGGAGCCTTTCCTATGACTCAGCACACTGGTAGAGGTTTCACTGGAAGGTGCAGCTGTGTCAATCATGCCTCTGAAGCCCAGCTGGCCAGCATGGATGCTCAGGCAAAGCACAATGGGGACCCAATGCAACCAACAAGTGGAGACCCAGCCAAAGAGCTGATTGGCCAGAAGGAAACAAGGAGGCGGGGTCCCAGCTGGAGAGAGGCAGTGGCAGCCTTTAAACGCTAACTGGCTCAAGCAACAGGGAGTATAGCATGTAAAGGCTGTGAGGATCTGTTTAAACCCTCTCAGCCTCAGACCAGGGAGGAGGTGGTTGGAGCTATTCCAGTCTCAGAGCTGATACAGAAAGAGAGGCTCATAACAGATAAGCGGCAGCAGGAGGAGGATGACCTTGGTGAGCAAAACCCCTTCATCTCTACATGTAAGGTCCAAAGGAGCTGGAGGCCCAGACTCCACATCCAGTTGGAACAAGGAGACTCCAGCTGCTGGGTTCAGCTCCTCTCTTCTCCACTTCAGTACCCCACTATGCCATGCCAAGCCACCTTTCTACAGCTGCCCTTTAGGGATGCCAGTCCCCAGGTGGTGGTGTAGGAATCCTGATTTCTCAGGCTCTCCCCCTGATGCCGGACAGCTGGCTGGCGGGGGAAGCCCTGCCTCCAGCAGCTGTCCATGGCTCCACTTTAAAAGAGTGCCACCTGTGCCTGCCCCACAAGCCACAAATTCGTGACTGGCAGGGCAGGTGCTGTGGCACCTTCTCTTTTCAAGTGGGTGCTGTGTGGGCCTGCTCTGCAAGGCATGAATTCGTGGCTTGCAAGGCGGGCACTGTAGTGCCTGCTGTTTTCAGGCGAGGGGTACCTGTGCCTGCCCGGCAAGCAGTGAACTCACTGCTTGCAGGGCAGGTGTGCACGGCTCCCACTCTTTTCAAGCGGAGGCTGCCTATACCTGCCCTGCAGGTATAGAGTTTTCCCTCCAACGATTGGGGCCACGCCCCCAACGTGATCTACGTGGTTGCGTCACTTCCTGTGATGCACCCACGCTGCACTTCGGGGGCGGGGTTCCCTCCGGGGCCCGATTCCGCGGCATCGGAAATCGGGCCTCCAAAGCGGGGGTTTACCCGCCCCCCGCCCCCACTTCGCAGCCCTAAGCCATGATGTAGCCCTCCATCTTTATTTGGAGTGCTAGCAAAATGCACATCAAAATATTTAGTGGGAAAATGTAAGCAAGGGAAGAGTAAATCAGACCTAAAGAACAGACCACTCACATCAGCGATGTTGATACAGGAATGGGGGAATTTGTTGCCTTCCATCAGTTCCAGCATATCTAGTTATCCTTCTGCTCCATTCTCTAGCATGTTTCCCTCACAGCCTGACCCACTTGTGCTCCTTTCCCACCTTGGATTATATACCCCTCCTCCAAGGATAGGGAAGGGCAGCAATTAACAGAGTTGTGCCTCCTTCCAAAGTGCAAGACCAATCAGGCCCCTCTGTCTCTCACAGAAACTCCATGACTTTATCCACAAGAAGCACAGTTTCGTTAGGTATATTTATTAAAATTTAAAAGACTCAGTATATTCAGTGTATAAATACTGCAAGCTGCTTCTTCTTAAGGTGCCTAAATAGTGTGCTTGGGCTCTGGAAGTCCCAAGTTTAAAGACCTGCTCAGCCATAATATTCACTGGTTAATCCTCAGGGCTCCTGATTCTGCCTCTCCCAGTCTAACCTGCCTCAGTAGCTGCAAGAATCAAATGAGGCCAATAATTCTACATGCCACCCCTAACCTCCTCTCAAGAAGTATGGACTAAGTATGTAAAAATAAATTAACAATGACAAAGATAAAAAATGAACTTTGCTTTTGCCACTTTTGAAAAACAGGAATAGAGAAAAAACTAACATGAGGGCTTAGAAAGTTGCAAATTCAGCAGTTTCCTTTTCCTCATAGCAAACTTCTGACAGTGAGGGGATTCTTAAAAGCAGTTTGTGATAGAGCATTTTCATAGAAATAAAGAGAATTAATCACTTTTCTGTTTCTCAAGCTCTTGGGCATAACTGAAGTAGTCCTTGGGATCCTGGCCAGTGAATAAAATGTAGGATCATCATGAGGTAATTATTTTCTTAGAAAGAACCCTGGGAAGGGGGACATTTCTATAATGCAATGGCATATCAAATATTTAGTTATAATTATAATACTTCAGAATTTAATATTTTTCACCAACACACGCAATAATGCTGTGTATTTATGTAAGAGGAATGAGCACTAAATTCAACAGGCAATATGCACAGGTGGAGCATGCCGTTGTCCTAACAATGAAATTAGCTATCCTGAATTCATATTTATTTGATGTACAGTCTGTACAGTTACAATAAAATATCTTTGAAAATACCTGTATAACTGACGTTTTTCTCTAATCTGAACCATCACTATATCTAATAGTTAACCATCTGTCTCCTGTGTGTATAATGAAAACACCTTAACAGAGCCAACAGACAAGGTAAGGGTACAGTTTGAGGCTGCTGTGAGGTAAGTTTTGTGGAGAACATTGAGATCACTGAGCCAGGAGTTGAATGAATATATATATATATTTGTTTATGTATAGGCTGTTTTCTTTTTGTTCAGCAGCACAGATCTCCATACAGTCATAGGAGAAGCCTGACAGACACTCTTAAGCTAGTTAAATTCCCTTTAACACTAGAGGTTACAAACAGCTTCCATTGCTACCCACCAGGCTGGATCTTTTCTAATACACACAGGACTACACCACACCATCCTGCACTTTTCCACGAGACAGGCTGAATGGTACCTGGTCCACTCATCCTCAGAGAGAGGCCTCACAACCAGGGGCTGAGAGAATAACCACTGTGCCATGCTAACGGGCAGGAATACCCTTTAATCCATCTGTTTTCTTGTTGAGGAGACCCCAACTGACTGCTGCTGTGTTTTCCTGCAACATTCCATCCCTTCCCCCTTTGAAAGGTGACTGGATACTGGAGCAGCACTTCCATAGGCTCAGGTGCAAAACTTCTGATCACAAGGAAGAATGTTCTAAAGATGCAGAGACGTAACCCAAAAGGGTCACCATTTGCCTCCCTTCACACTGCAGACAGGTGCTTCTGAGGCAGACCTTAATGGATACATAGGGTCATATAGGAGTGAACAGTTCTTCAGCTTCTTGGTATCTACACTGCTCAAGGCTTTACAGGTCAAAACCAGCCTTTTATTGCACCCTGAAACAACTGGAACCCAATACAGTGCTTGCAGTACAGGGGATAGTTTGATCACTGTAATAGTTATCAATAACCTTTAAATAGTATTTTTTATAATCAGAGCATGGATAACTGTGGCAAAGTCATTTTTTAAAAGAAGGGTGCAGCTAGTGTACCAATCAAAGTTTGTAAAAGGCAAGGCAAGAAAAGAAAAGAAAAAGAAAAGGAGAGCTTGAACAACTTAGCGACCTACAATTATTGCAGTGTAGGAAAAATATGAAGAAAATCAGGCAGAACTCATTTATTTGTAGAACGAAGAGGTTATCTCAGTAGAAGCCTTCATGCTATTTTTTATTTGGTGGCCTTTTGCTATTTGCTGAGACTATATATTTGACTTTACAAATCATCCATAAGTAGTATGCCTGGTAAAGTCCACTATGACACCAATTCAGAGAATCACTGGAAAACCAAGAGGTTGTATTAACTTTGGAGCAACTGATTAAAAGCATTAAAAATGACTTATTTATGTTTTAAATCTCTGGACACTTTTCAGTCAAAAGTTAAATGTTCTTTTAGCTAGATAAACCTCTCATTTATTTTACAAAATAGCAAGACTTGAATTTACAGAACAGCATGTTCTGAATTAGACATGAAATTCCCTTTACTGCATTTTTGCTAATTAGTGTTGCATGCCTAATTTGCCATGCACCATGCTTACTTCAGAAGTTTCTTTTTCTTTGCAGCTTTTGTGCTTTGATAAGCAAGAAAGAAATTGTGCACAAAAGTGAGGTTTCTGAAAGTCAAGAAAGTACCTAACACCAACATATAATCTTAACACAGGAAATGCAAGCCTTCAGGCTGCAAAGGAAACATCCTTGTATCACTGGAAATAGTATTTTCACTTCTGAGGGGCACTGCACCCATAATTAAATGGGCTGAAAGCAGGGGTCATTGGGGGGGGACGCGGGGGGACGCCATCCCCCCGGGTGAGGTGCGGGAGGGCGCGGCCTGGAGCTCCCTGCTGGTGCCCGCTGGAGGTCGCCGCCGGCTGTGGGGAGGACACACTTCCGGTGATGTCAGGGGGTGTGGCATATGCTAATGAGTTATGCTAATGAGTCCCCCTAGCTCTTTTTCTACGAAATGACCCCTGGCTGAAAGAGTACAGCTAAACAAGCTATTTTTTCATAGGTGTGCTTCTTAAGTTTCTTTGACATAATTTGTGTCATTCTAGGACAAAATGTTACTTGGATACACAGGGTTGGATCCAGCACTGAATTTCTGCTTGTGCTAGAGCTCTTGCAAGAAAAAAAACCCATGGTAGTC